CCTCAGACCCAGGTAACTACCCCTCAGAGCCAGGTAACTACCCCTCAGAGCCAGGTAACTACCCCTCAGAGCCAGGTAACTACCCCTCAGAGCCCCTCCACTACCCCTCAGAGCCAGGTAACTGCCCCTCAGAGCCAGGTAACTGCCCCTCAGACCCAGATAACTACCCCTCAGAGCCAGGTAACTGCCCCTCAGAGCCAGGTAACTACCCCTCAGAGCCAGGGGTAACTACCCCTCAGAGCCAGGTGTAACTACCCTCAGAGCCAGGTGGTAAACTACCCCTCAGAGCCAGGTTAACTACCCCTCAGAGCCAGGTAACTACCCTCAGAGCCCCTCCACTACCCCTCAGACCCAGGTAACTGCCCCTCAGAGCCAGGTAACTGCCCCTCAGACCCAGATAACTGCCCCTCAGAGCCAGGTAACTACCCCTCAGAGCCAGGTAACTACCCTCAGAGCCAGGTAACTACCCCTCAGAGCAGGGGTAACTACCCCTCAGAGCCAGGTAACTACCCTCAGAGCCAGGTGAATACCCCTCAGAGCCAGGTTAACTACCCTCAGACCCAGGTAACTACCCTCAGACCCAGGTAACTACCCCTCAGAGCCAGGTAACTACCCCTCAGAGCCAGGTAACTACCCCTCAGAGCCAGGTAACTACCCCTCAGACCCAGGTAACTACCCCTCAGACCCAGGTAACTACCCCTCAGACCCAGGTAACTACCCCTCAGACCCAGATAACTACCCCTCAGACCCAGGTAAACTGCCCTCAGAGCCAGGTTAACTGCCCTCAGAGCCAGGTAACTACCCCTCAGACCAGGGTAACTACCCCTCAGAGCCAGGTAACTACCCCTCAGAGCCAGATAACTACCCCTCAGACCCAGGTAACTACCCCTCAGACCCAGGTAACTACCCCTCAGAGCCAGGTAACTGCCCCTCAGACCCAGGTAACTACCCCTCAGACCCAGATAACTACCCCTCAGAGCCAGGTAACTACCCCTCAGAGCCAGGTAACTGCCCCTCAGACCCAGATAACTGCCCCTCAGAGCCAGGTAACTGCCCCTCAGACCCAGGTAACTACCCCTCAGAGCCAGGTAACTACCCCTCAGACCCAGGTAACTACCCCTCAGAGCCAGGTAACTACCCCTCAGAGCCAGGTAACTACCCCTCAGAGCCCCTCCACTACCCCTCAGAGCCAGGTAACTGCCCCTCAGAGCCAGGTAACTGCCCCTCAGACCCAGTATAATACCCCTCAGAGCCAGGTAACTGCCCCTCAGAGCCAGGTAACTACCCCTCAGAGCCAGGTAACTACCCCTCAGAGCCAGGTAACTACCCCTCAGAGCCAGGTAACTACCCCTCAGAGCCAGGTAACTACCCCTCAGAGCCAGGTAACTACCCCTCAGAGCCAGGTAACTACCCCTCAGAGCCAGGTAACTGCCCCTCAGAGCCAGGTAACTGCCCCTCAGACCCAGATAACTACCCCTCAGAGCCAGGGTAACTGCCCCTCAGAGCCAGGTAACTACCCCTCAGAGCCAGGGTAACTACCCTCAGAGCCAGGTAACTACCCCTCAGAGCCAGGTTAACATACCCCTCAGAGCCAGGTAACTACCCCCTCAGAGCCAGGTAACTACCCCTCAGAGCCAGGTAACTCTCCCGGGGCCAGACCTCTCCTCCACTGCCCCTCAGACCCAGGTGATACTGTTACCTTAGACCTTCCATCCAGGTAAGACTGTTACCTTAGACCTTCCATCCAGGTGAGACTGTTACCTTAGACCTTCCATCCAGGTAAGACTGTTACCTTAGACCTTCCATCCAGGTGAGACTGTTACCTTAGACCTTCCATCCAGGTAAGACTGTTACCTTAGACCTTCCATCCAGGTAAGACTGTTACCTTAGACCTTCCATCCAGGTAAGGGACTGTTACTTAGACCTCCATCCAGGTAAGACTGTTACCTTAGACCTTCCATCCAGGTAAGACTGTTACCTTAGACCTTCCATCCAGGTAAGACTGTTACCTTAGACCTTCCATCCAGGTAAGACTGTTACCTTAGACCTTCCATCCAGGTAAGACTGTTACCTTAGACCTTCCACCCAGGTAAGACTGTACCTTAGCCCTTTCCAATCCAGGTAAGACTGTTACCTTAGACCTTCCATCCAGGTAAGACTGTTACCTTAGACTTCCATCCAGGTAAGACTGTTACCTTAGACTTCCATCCAGGTAAGACTGTTACCTTAGACCTTCCATCCAGGTAAGACTGTTACCTTAGACCTTCCATTCAGGTGAGACTGTTACCTTAGACCTTCCATTCAGGTGAGACTGTTACCTTAGACCTTCCATCCAGGTGAGAGTGTTACCTTAGACCTTCCATCCAGGTAAGACTGTTACCTTAGACCTTCCATCCAGGTGAGACTGTTACCTTAGACCTTCCATCCAGGTGAGACTGTTACCTTAGACCTTCCATCCAGGTAAGACTGTTACCTTAGACCTTCCATCCAGGTGAGACTGTTACCTTAGACCTTCCATCCAGGTGAGACTGTTACCTTAGACCTTCCATCCAGGTGAGACTGTTACCTTAGACCTTCCATCCAGGTAAGACTGTTACCTTAGACCTTCCATCCAGCTGAGACTGTTACCTTAGACCTTCCATCCAGGTAAGACTGTTACCTTAGACCTTCCATCCAGGTAAGACTGTTACCTTAGACCTTCCATCCAGGTGAGACTGTTACCTTAGACCTTCCATCCAGGTGAGACTGTTACCTAAGACCTTCCATCCAGGTGAGACTAGGTTAGATGAGGCTGCTACCTCTCAGACCCAGGTACAGTACACCTGTTATGCCACATAGCCTGACTTATGTCTCCCTGTCTCCATAGCAACGCTCCACCCCCGCCCCCTGGCAGGAAACTCAGCCATCGCCGCAGCAACCTCCAATTGAACGACACCGTGGACAAAGTGGTCGACAGCAGCAGCATCTACGGCATCTCAGGTTGACCAAAATACAGAAAACACTTCTTCTAGAAACAGACAAGACACTGTACATGTTATAAAGACTGATGTACTGACCTCGCCAGTGGCTATGACGACACCACAGGCTCGGCCCTCCAGCCTAGCTGCGGCACACAGCCCCGCGAGCGACTACACCCATCGCCGGGCCGCCAGCGCCGCGCGCAGCGCGAGACGGACCTAACACCCACCATGCGGATGGCCCACCAGCTGCGCCCTCCAGAGCGCCGTCTCGAATGACACCCATCACTGTCCCTCCATCTCCTCGCATGCGCGCTCCTCGTCCGTCCGACTAACTTACACACCCAATCCTCTTGTCCCTCCATCTCTCCTCCTCTCAGCTACCTCTCTTCTCGCTTCTACTCTCTCTCTAGCTCTCTCTCTCTCTCTCTCTCTTCCTCTCTCTCTCTACCTACACCCAATCTCTCTTTCTCCATCTCTCTTCTCTCCCTCCCACAGCCATAGATGGTGTTCCCTTCACTCTGCACCCCAAGTTCGAGACCCAAACGAACGGCATGGTAAGTTGAAATACCACTAACCAGCAGCGTTTCACTGGTAAAGTGACATGGACTACTTTTACTTCCAGTGGTAGAATACCATGAGTCTAAACTCTCTCTCTCCTCCCCCTCTCTTTCCTCCCAGACCCCAACAAACACTCTGAACAACATTCGCATCAAGTCTGTCCAGGACATTGAAAATGAGGTAGGTGTGTGTGCGCGCATGTTATTTTTGTATTGATTGTGTTACTGTGTGGTCCGTTGTCATGTATTGACCATGTTGTGGTATTGATTGTGTTACTGTGTGGTCCGTTGTCATGTATTGACCATGTTGTGGTATTGATTGTGTTACTGTGTGGTCCGTTGTCATGTATTGACCATGTTGTGGTATTGATTGTGTTACTATGTGGTCCGTTGTCATGTATTGACCATGTTGTGGTATTGATTGTGTTACTGTGTGGTCCGTTGTCATGTATTGACCATGTTGTGGTATGATTGTGTTACTTGTGGTCTGTTGTCATGTATTGACCATGTTGTGGTATTGATTGTTACTGGTGGTCCGTTGTCATGTATTGACCATGTTGTGGTATTGATTGTGTTACTGGTGTGGTCCGTTGTCATGTATTGACCATGTTTGTGGTATTGATTGTGTTACTGTGTGGTCCGTTGTCGTGTATTGACCATGTTGTGGTATTGATTGTGTTACTGTGTGGTCTGTTGTCATGTATTGACCATGTTGTGGTATTGATTGTGTTACTGTGTGGTCTGTTGTCATGTATTGACCATGTTGTGGTATTGATTGTGTTACGTGTGGGTCCGTTGTCATGTATTGACCATGTTGTGGTATTGATTGTGTTACTGTGTGTTCCGTTGTCGTGTAATTGATCATGTTGTGGTATTGATTGTGTTACTGTGTGGTCCGTTGTCGTGTATTGACCATGTTGTGGTATTGATTGTGTTACTGTGTGGTCCGTTGTCGTGTATTGACCATGTTGTGTGTTCGCAGTACAACTACACTTTCATCGTGGAGGAAAACGCTGCCAAGAGAACCAGACCTCTCACCACAGGAAGCACCTCTTAGGCTCAATGACCTTTCAACTCCGACCTCAACAACGGCAGCCTGCTTGAACCACAGCCCCACGGGGGGGTCAATGTGATATGTCAGGGTCATGAGATGATAATCAATGTCCAAGTGCCTAGAAGATGACTGACTATAACAGAAGTGTCATTCTACATTCCAGAGTTCCTCCACAACTCCATTTTTTATTCCGTGTTCTAAACTCTTACACATTCCATTCTCTCCACCATAGTGTCTTATATCAGACCAGTTAGTTATTTATATATATATATATGTATGTGTTAGAGATGACTCTTTGGGGGGAAGAGAATGTTGTTTGGCAGGGTATGCTTGTTTCTCTTGTAAGAATAATGGAGGGAACCTATTGCTCTTTCTATTGATCTTTATTGGGGTGTTTAGGGACCAAACTAAATGTTGTTACACTTTCAATGTAAGTAATGTTACTATCATGTCTCTGTAGTGAGACATGGGTCATTTCATTGAAGTATGTTACCTGTAACTGGTCATATTTTCTGTATATTGCACAAGCGTAAAACAAATAAAATACCTAATAATTTATTGACATGTTGTGTACCTCTTAAATGGTTTGTTAAGGAAAGTTTGATATCTGTCACAGGGAGAAAAAACTGGTAAACACAGCGACTGCTGGCACTTCTGATTGAACTGATAGGCGTTAGACGCACCCACTGTTCTGCATGATCAAACAGGTAATATGAGATTCTGTAATATGAGATTCTGTTATGGGTTATACACGGAAACAAATGTGAACCTCCCAGTCTGTGCAGCTTTCACCTGTATCCAGACTAGGAGCACCATTCGACAGAGAATTGAGGTTTTGGGGATTAAACTCGATCTGGAGTCAGGTGGATAGAAGATCCTGCAACCGCTTTGTCAATATAAATGCAAACAGAGGTAACATTTAGATTTGTCATCAGCCTCCGCAGTAATCCTGGGCTACTGTAGCATTCCGTAAAAAAGATAACGTCTGTACCCATTATTTCAACTTCTAACAATAATACTTTGCGATAATATTTTGTAATCCAGAATCATTCATTTTGACAGTTTCTTATCTTGTGTTCATGCTGTACTACAGAATACACATAATCCAAAATACCAAATCTGGGATGTCGCTGCCATAAAATGAAGGATTAGAACTGCTGGTCACTGCTTTCAGTTTGAATAGGCCTACAGTATATATTTCCATCTACTGGGCAGGTTATGTTACTACATTTGAATCCCGCTTTGAACTGTGATTCACGTCAACTCTTTGCATAATCCTAGCTCTCTTTCTTCCATTCCGACTATCCTATCATAGCTCCTTTTCCTAATTATTTGACCACCTCTATAAACTTGACAATGGTAATAACGGTAGACCTATTATTAAACCGTGGTACTAAGCCTGCCAGTGTTACCAGTGTCTTACTAACTAACTATGGGCCAAGTTTCCTGGACCCAGAACAGGTCTTCTCAGGACTGAAAGACATTGTCTATAGATAATCCCAGTGGTATTCCCAGTCAGTCAGTCAGTCAGCAAGACGGAGTAGGAGAAGCTGTATTAGTGGAGTAGTGGTTGTAATGCATTAGATAAAGAATGATTAGATTATTACAGGTAAGGAAACACTGACAAGGTGATGTCATTTCAGAGTCGGCCACCAGGAGAAAGATATGGCATCTTGTGCAGGTATGTTATTGTTGTAGTGATGTTCTATCAGAGCTTGTTCTGGTAAAATAATAAGAAGAAGAAGAAGAAGAAAAAGAAGAAGAAGAATGATAATAATAATAATAAGAAGAAGAAGAAGAAGAAAAAGAAGAATGATAATAATAATAATAATAATAATCACACGTATTTTATGCCTCAGGTAGTACCTCATCAGAAGCGTGTTTGTCCGACTCACCTCCACTACATACAGGGATGATATCCAAGGAAAATACATGTGTTGTTTAAAGCTTGTAGTCTGTAACTGTCTTTATCAGGGTCAGACCTGGGGATCATTCAGCTGGGGAAGACTGGAGCAGGGAAGAGTACAACAGGAAACACCAAAGAGGTGTTTATAGAAGATTTCGCTTCTGAGTCTGTGACTACACAATGTGAGGATGTCCAGAGGATAAAGAATACAGCTTGGGACACTACTGAAACATTAGGAGGAGGAGAAACAGGAGGAGGAGGAAGAGGAGGAGGAGTAGCAGGAGGAGGAAGTGTATCAGGAGGAGGAGGAGTAGCAGGAGGAGGAGTAGCAGGAGGAGGAAGAGTAGCAGGAGGAGGAGTAGCAGGAGGAGGAGGAAGAGGAGGAGGAAGAGTAGTAGGAGGAGGAGGAAGAGGAGGAGTAACAGGAGGAGGAGGAAGAGGAGGAGGAGTAACAGGAGGAGGAGGAGCTGGAGGAAGAGTAGCAGGAGGAGGAGGAGTAGGAGGAGGAGGAGGAAGAGGAGGAGGAGCAGCAGGAGGAACAGGAGAAGGAGGAGTAACAGGAGGAGGAGAAGGAGGAGTAGCAGGAGAAGGAGGAATAGCAGTAGGAGGAGTAGCAGGAGGAGGCGTAGAAGGAGTAACAGATGGCATACTATCAGCAGTACTAGGAGGAGTTGCAGAAGGAGGAGGAGCTGGAAGAGGAGTAACAGGAGTAGGAGGAGTAGCAGGAGGAGGAGTAGCAAGAGTAACAGGAGAAGAAGGAGAAGGAGTAACAGATGGCATACTAGCAGCAGTACTAGGAGGAGTAGCAGGAGGAGCAGCAGTAGGAGTATCGGTACTAGCTTTGGGAATACCAGCAGGAATAGCAGGAGCAGGAATAGCAGCAGTAGCAGGAATAGCATTTGCAGGGATTTTTCAGAAATGTACACCAAAATCAACAAGAGGGGGGTGGAAAAGTACAGGTCTGGTTAACAACAACAACAATGATTAAACTACATGAGATATATTTTTCGGAATTGTATGTTTGTTTCTGTAGTTTTAAGACTAATGTAAAATGTATGTTTAATGTGTTCAAACTATAAAACAAACTTCCATCCATGTCACTTTATGGAAGGAACTTGTTAAAATCAGTCGATCCTCTTTCTTTAATTTATCTTCAAAAAATTGTATGGGACGTTTAGGGACCTTCTTACAGTTTCAATGTAAATACATGTTACTATCATGTCTGTGTAGTGGGTCATTTTATGGTGTTTTTAAAATAACCAATAAATAATATTTAACCGATTAAATTGTATTTGTCTATTGTGCCTTGCATGTAATTTAAGTATAAAATACAAAATATTGTGTTGACATGTTGTGTACCATTATTAAATGGGTGTGGCGTTAGATGCAACATGATCAAGCAGGCATGAAATTCCATTACGGGTTATACAGGAGACAAATGTGAACCTCGCATATCACCTGTATTCACACTCAACGCATAGATTGACAGAAAAATCGACGTTGTGGGGAATAATTTCGCTCCGGAGTCAGGTGTATAGAAGATCCTGCAGCCACTTTGTCAATTTGAAGGAAGAGGTAACGTTTAGATGTGTAATCTACTCCCGCTGTAATCCTAGGCTACTGCAGCGTTCCATACAAAAAAAATAGCTTTAGGATCTAATTTAGGATCATATTAATTGAGACAGTTTTATATATTGTGTTCATGCTGCACTGCAACATACAAAAATAAATCCAGATTACACATTCCGTGATGTCACTGCTTTCAGTTTGAATAGGCCTACAGTACATATTGCCATCTACTGGGCAGGTTATGTTACTACATTTGATTCCCCTCTGAACGGTCATTCAGTGTGTAGAAGAGATGGGTGTGAAGTGAACCACATTATTGTAAAAGGAACTTCATTTGGAAATGTGTTTTATATATATGTTTTTTGGAATACTATAGGATGGTAAAACATGTTCGTACTTTCAAAGTCCACCAGGAGAAAGATATGGATACTACAGGAGGGTAAACATTGTTTATTTTTATTTAACTAGGCCAGTCAGTTAAGAACAAATTCTTATTTACAATGACGGCCTACACCGGCCAAACACGGACGACGCTGGGCCAATTGCGCACCGCCCTACGGGACTCCCAATCACGGCCGGTTGTGATACAGCCTGGAATCGAACCAGGGCGCCACTCAGGAGCCCAAACGTGTTTGTAATTTCAGAGAGTCCACCAGGAGAAAGATATGAATACTATAGGATGGTAAAACATGTTTGTAATTTCAGAGAGTGCACCAGGAGAAACATATGAATACTATAGGATGGTAAAACATGTTTGTAATTTCAGAGAGACCACCAGGAGAAAGATATGAATACTATAGGATGGTAAAACATGTTTGTAATTTCAGAGAGTCCACCAGGAGAAAGATATGAATACTATAGGATGGTAAAACATGTTTGTAATTTCAGAGAGACCACCAGGAGAAAGATATGAATACTATAGGATGGTAAAACATGTTTGCAATTTCAGAGAATCCACCAGGAGAAAGATATGGCATGTTCGTCTGGTACAGGTAAGTCTGTCAGGGTTGTGGAGAAGTTCTTCAATCTATTTGAATCTACCAGAGCATGTTGTCAGTACAATTTACTTGAACAATGTACTCTGTTTTTACATCAAAAGGGGAGAGGAAGAGGAGAGCCAGCATGGCAGACCCTCCCACCAGTAAGTATTGACTGAGCGGTGCTCTCTCTTTTCACACAAACACATCGGGTGGCAGGTAGCCTAGCGGTTAAGAGTGTTGGGCCAGTAACAAAAAAGTAACTGGTACGAATCAACGAGCTGACTAGGTGAAAAATCTGCCGATGTGCCCTTGAGCAAGGCACTTAACCCTAATTGCTCCAGGGTAACCGTCAATAATAGCTGATCCCTGGCCGTGACCCCACTCTCAAAGGGTGGGATATACAAAAGCCAATACACACTTGTACGTGTGAGATGGGATGAATGCATCCATATTATTATTAACTCCAAAATCTGGCAAGTCCACAGTCAGGGAAAATACATTTTTGATTGCCTTGGTGCACTGAATATCGCTGATAATGAAAGGAACTTAATGATGTCTATTAAAGGTGCAATATGTAACTTTTTGGGCGACCAGACCAAATTCACATAGAAATGTGAGTTATAGATCTGTCATTCTCATTGAAAGCAAGTCCAAGAAGCAGTAGATCTGTTCTATGTGCTCTATTTTGCTTCCTGGTCTTAAGTTTCGTTTTTGCATCTTTTACTTTGTTTCGTACACCAGCTTCAAACCGCTGAAAATACAATGTTTTTCGAAAATATATTTCACAGCAGTTTAGATGGTACAATGATTATTTACACTATACTTGCTTGTTTTGTCACATAAATTGAAATTAGGCTAACTATTAGAATTTCAGCAACCAGGAAATGGCGGAGCGATTTCTGCATAGTGCACTTTTAAAGCCTGTGTGTAACTGTGTTTCTTCTATAGTGTCTGATCTGAGGATTGTTCTGCTTGGTCCGGTTGGAGCAGGGAAGAGTGCAACGGGAAACACCATCCTTGGGAGAGAGGCCTTTAAAGTGGACTTCTCTCCTGAGTATGTAACCAAAGAGTGTGAGAAACAGAGTACGGAGGCGAATGGGAGG